CTGCTGTACTCAGATGCTGGAAATAATTATATGAACTGTCTTCAAGCTCTATGCTTAAACAGGTGTGTACTGTTTACAGGCTACATTTAAAGGCTGGATGGATATTATGTATGCAGCTATTGACTCAAGAGAGGTAAGTACTGCAAATATTTTAAATTATGTTTTTTTCTTGAGATCTGTCTATCAACAAATACATATCTATATATCTTCCAAAAGCAATTTATATCTATATATTAGAATGAAACCAAATTAAATTAACTAATACAATAAATTGCGGAAAATGGAATGCAAACTGACAGATGCTATCAGTAATAGTTGGGACGGACAAAATACATTGATGTAAGTGACAAGAGTATTGTTCAAACACAAAATATTAAGGACTTTTCGCCCAAGGTTGCTGCTTGTTCAGTTGAAATTTTCACATGAAATCTTAGGAATGATACATCACATTTTTTTTCTTAGGTATTACAGCAACCCAAGTATGAAGACAATCTGTACATGTATTTGTATTTTGTCATCTTTATCATTTTTGGGTCTTTTTTCACCCTGAACCTGTTCATTGGTGTAATTATTGATAACTTCAATCAACAAAAAAAGAAGATAAGTATTGATTCATTTCTCTTCTAAATATTGCATTTTTACAAGTGCATGATATATAGAATGTACACCCAAGATTTGTTCAAAATTGAAAAAGATGAAGTATATTAGAATATAAAATCTTATCAAGATGTAGTGTGCATTAATGTCATAAGATTTCACATTGTAGTGAATGGGATAGACCCTTCTGTTTTCAATGGCAGTTTAGTTTTCCTCAAGTCATCTGCTTTTCCATGCCTAAACTTCATGAAATCTTCTTACATGATCGAATGCCTGATTTAGGCCTCTGCATTAAAGCACTCATCATTTCTTGCCTTTTTTCTTCTTCATTTGTAGTGATTCTATCAGCACAAAAACCCATAGATACCTGGTTATGAAAAATAAAGCATCATTTCATCACATTACTACAGATGCTATTTTAATGATCCCAAGTATTCAAGTTCTATTTTATGGCATTGAACAATCTGAAACTCTAAAGAACAGGAGTGGTTTGTAACTATCTCAGGGCCTTTTTTTTATTGTTTCATAGTGCAGATGTAGATAATTTCACTGAAATAAGTGGTCTGAGTATCAGATACTAATCTTTAAAACTATTTTCTGTAAATAGATTAGGATAAAAACAGCTATGAATTACTAGTTTAATTTTACTGGACTTCATCACTTTCTTTGGGTTTATGTTAATAATGAGAGATACTAAGTAATACTTTTGAAAGCTGTACATGCCGGACACGTGGAGGTACATGGTTAGGGAGTCTGTCCAGAGTATGGCACATGCATTCCCATGTCTTCAACATTCCCAAACACTCATCCACAAAGGGCTGAATCTAGTCCTATGTGTCCATAGATGTTCTTGGAATTAGATGTCCACAAGTATCTTTTATCCAGGAAACATTTCCTTCAAGAGGTATGTAGAGTCTGATGGGTTTTCATTCAAGCTGTCTCTACAAGAAAGCTACTATAGGCAGTGGATTTTGGTTAGGTTGCCAGGAAAGATCTATAATTCTCTCTTTATCTTCACTGTCGGGCTCCACAGGCCAGTTCTGGCTTTTACTAATCAGAACTTCATTGAACATGGAAGCCAATCAAGATAATAGACTTAAAGAGAGCATTTTGCTGTTAACAGTAGCAAGAGTGCTTCAATCTTCAGCTCACTTTTTTCCAAAATCTGACAAACCATCTTCTCAAAACCCTTGAAGACTTTGAGTCCATATGCTAATGTTGTGATTGCTAAACTAGAGATATCTAAAGCACTAACACATTCATGTACTGAAAACCTGACTGTGTTTGCTTCGTTTCACTAAAATCACAGTTCAGAAGTGACAGGCTATTTAAGCTTATCTCAGATGCTGTTTACTGTATCCCTTCCTATAAAAGAAAAGAGGTACTGAAAAGGATTTCTTGGAGTTAAAGGAAAATAACTGTAGAAAAATGCTGCATTACTGGTTTTTTTGTGAGATGCAGTACTGGCTGTCCAGGCAACTTCTGGTCTAAATGCTTAGATTGCAGACAGCTGCATTTGATAGCTAAGAAATTTTTTTCCAATTCAGTCTTCTTGATTTTCGTGAAATAAATAAACAAATCACATTTCTCTTTAGAAGTTTTTTCAATGCTGCATATAATTGTGATTATAACCAGTTTTGATTTCATGTTTTTACTTTGGAGGTCAAGACATATTTATGACAGAAGAGCAGAAGAAATACTACAATGCAATGAAAAAGCTGGGATCAAAAAAACCACAAAAACCTATACCAAGACCAGGGGTAAAATTATTTATATACATCAGAACAATAGCTCTTTATTAACAGCTCAGTTTTTATTGATATATAGAGAGCAGAAATGTGCCCTTATGAAAATTATCATTTACTAGTGTATCAGTCAGAAAAAATGCAAAATGAAAACAGAGTTAAAAAACCCTTATTTTTCCCTGGCAAACATTTTATGTATGACTATACAAAGGAGACTGAACTAAGTATTCACTTTAATTTGACTGCTCTACTTAAGATCACTACTTACAGTTTCATCGGCCTTACTGCATGTATTTTTCTACTTTCTTCTAAGAGGAGAAGAAAACCAATTACAGTTTGTATTGGATGTTTCTTTTTTTTTTTTTTCTTTTCTCCCCAGAACAAATTCCAAGGCATGGTCTTTGATTTTGTGACACAGCAAGTATTTGACATCAGCATCATGATTCTTATTTGTCTTAACATGGTTACCATGATGGTAGAAACTGATGATCAGAGTAAAGAAATGGAAACTATTTTATACTGGATAAACCTGGTGTTCATTGTCCTTTTCACTGGAGAATGTGTCCTGAAATTAATTTCACTTCGGCATTACTATTTCACTATAGGCTGGAATATTTTTGATTTTGTGGTTGTCATTCTCTCAATAGTAGGTAAGTTTTGCTTATTAAACTAAAAAGAGGGTAAAATGAATATAAGATGAACTTTTACTTGAACAGAGCTATTTGGCTGCCTTTTGCCATTGCAAGGTTTACAACTCAGTCATGCAACTTTTCATCTTATCTGATAATTTACCTAATCCAACTATCAAAACTTTTATAATCATTCACCACATAATGCACCTGCAAATACTAACTGGTATAACAGAAATTATGCAAGTGGAATCTGCAGAATATCTTTAATTGCTACATAGAACCACCAATTTAAAACTATTTTTCTAAATTTCTACTGTAATATGGAGATTAAGTGGTAATGTATCTTGGTTTTATTTTTTTCTGTTTTAGGTATGTTTTTAGCCGAGATGATTGAGAAATATTTTGTATCCCCCACACTGTTCAGAGTCATCCGACTTGCCAGAATCGGCCGAATCCTGCGCCTCATTAAAGGCGCTAAGGGAATCCGCACTCTGCTTTTTGCTCTGATGATGTCTCTTCCCGCTTTGTTCAACATCGGCCTGTTGCTGTTCCTGGTCATGTTTATCTATGCGATATTTGGCATCCCCAACTTCGCCTATGTTAAGAGGAAAGCCGGTATAGATGACATGTTCAACTTTGAAACGTTTGGCAACAGCATGATCTGCCTGTTTCAGATTACCACGTCTGCTGGCTGGGATGGTTTGCTCGCCCCAATTCTTAACAGTGGGGAGCCAGACTGTGACCCTAACAAAGCTCATCCAGGGAGTTCTGTGAAAGGTGACTGTGGCAACCCTTCCGTTGGGATTTTCTTCTTTGTCAGCTACATTATCATATCATTTCTGGTAGTGGTGAACATGTACATCGCTGTGATTCTGGAGAACTTTGGTGTTGCTACTGAAGAAAGCGCTGAACCCTTGAGCGAGGATGACTTTGAGATGTTCTATGAAGTCTGGGAGAAGTTTGATCCCGATGCAACACAATTCATGGAATTTGAGAAATTGTCTGATTTTGCAGCAGCACTTGAGCCTCCTCTTCATCTACCCAAACCAAACAAAGTCCAGCTTATTGCAATGGATCTGCCCATGGTAAGTGGTGACAGAATTCACTGCCTTGACATCTTGTTTGCTTTCACAAAGCGTGTTTTGGGGGAAAGTGGGGAGATGGATGCCCTCAGAATACAGATGGAAGATCGGTTTATGGCATCCAATCCTTCAAAAGCTTCCTATGAACCAATTACAACCACATTAAAAAGAAAACAGGAAGAAGTATCTGCTGTCATTATTCAACGGGCTTATAGACGTCACCTTTTAAAACGAACAGTAAAACAAGCTTCCTTTATCTATAACAAAAACAAAACTGAAGGAGGGGCTGGTCAGGGTATGAAAGATGAAATCCTTATTGACAAGTTAAATGAAAACTCATTTACAGAGAAAACCGATATAACCGCATCAACAGCAGTTTGTCCCCCTTCTTATGATCGTGTAACAAGGTCAGTCAAAGAAAAGCATGAAAAGGAAGATAAAGATGTTCAGAAATAAAAGCAAATAGCAAGCAAAATCATCTATGTGCAAAATAGTTCATAGCCTGTAAGGTCATGTGTTTGTGTCACCAGGACTCCTGTTGGAGGTCTATGCCAAACTGACAATTTTTACAAACATACTGTACATTAAAGGTCAGTGCCTATTAAAAGACAGTGACCCCTCGTCAGTGACTGTGACTGTGATAGGAGGAAACAACCTTGACAGGAGGTTACTGTTCTCACTACCAGCTGACACTGCTGAAGAGGAGAGAAAAAATGGCTACTCAGACTGTAGGGACCAGGTAAAGGGGTGCAAACCAATTGTGTGTTTAGCATAAAACAATGCGGTAACTGTATCCACTGTTTGCATTTCAACTGCCACGTATATCATATTTTTACAAAATCTGTGTTGGTGGATTCATCTTATTTTTATTCATATGTTGTTTATTATATGTGACTATTTTTGTAAATGGGGCTTCCATTGGGGAAGGGGATGAAGTACACCTTCACAGGTACAAGGGCCAGGTGTTCTATTATACGACTAATATACACACAGAAATGATTTGCATGAAGGCATGCTGCACTTATAGACCATGCATGAAAATAACATTAAGTCACAAAGAACAACAGATTTTTTTTAGCACAGTGTTTCTGGAAAGGAATAACAGGTTTTGAGGTGCTCAATTAACGTATTCATGTTGTATCACATCCAAACAAGTCTTGGTATACCTGTAAAGTCCCCTATAACTCACAAGAACAGTAGAAGCAGATTATTTTTTGCACAGACCATTAAGTTTCAGAAAGTGCAAACGTCTTTCTAGGTCTGGAGTCACAGATTTTGTCGTTGTCAAATGTCTTTCTGCATACAAATACTAAATGAATCTGCCTCAGCCCTCCAAATTGATCAAAAAAAGCCCTTTAAAAAGTTGTTCTGCTTTATCCTGCAGTATTGTTTAGCCATCTTTAGCTCTCAGTAAGGTTGATGTTGTTGTACATGTTAATAAAAAGCCCTCTGCTATGTAAATAGTAATTTTTAACCTGTGGTGCATGTTTGAGCAAACAGATAATGATCTTAGCACATTTATTGCATCAAATATGTACCACAATAAGTGTAGCGAGCAAGCATTCAACAGGTAAAACTACGTATTATCTACCATTATAGATAGTTTGGATGCTATCAATGCATGTTTATATTGCCTATGCTGCTGTTCCTTTGACTGTCCTGGATTCTTAAATATGGGAAGCCATACATCAGAGCTAAATTAAATAAACTACTCAACGAGACCTCATTCCTCCATACCATTAAGCAATATTTTGCAGCTATTTAGGAGCTTGTTTGGTTTACATTTTTGGATTTTCAGTGAAAAGCATATAGTGTATATCCAAACTGTACAGACATGTTGAAAACTATTAAACCTGTTGAAAATAATGTTAGAATTTTATAAGCAAATATAAATACTGTAAAAATCATTTTATTTTATTTTTCAGCATTATGTACATAAAACAAGAACTGAATTTTATCTTCAGGTTGATGTCATACCGTTTTTGTTACTTTCTGTCCATAGCACTTTTTCACAGAAGAACTCCAGAGAACAAGATATAACTAAGAGAACGGATAGCTGTAGGTTCTTATTTTTTACAATACTTGCAAACATGTCAATAATTTCCGTGAAATAATTTCATAATTTGCTTCTAAAAATCTAAGTTTTTTTGCAGTTGGGAAATGGCGTAAAGTTCAAATTGAATGTCTAAGCAGTGCCTGCATCATAAGTTTTCAGATACAGTCTTTCACAGAATCCTTAATCTTTTCTCATATTTATTCACAGTTTTGGTTTTTTTTTTTTATTCATGCTGCACTAGAACAGTTCTAAATGTTATCTTGGGCCCACAGTATTTTTTCACAAAAACAAAGTAGCAAAATTGTATAATCCAGCACATCAGGACATTTTATGTTTCTTACACAGGAAAATGAAATATAGATTACTTTTATTAAAATTATTGACTAATACTGTATTAGTGAACTGCATGCAGGAAAATGCTACTATTACCCTAACTGATGCTAAAGAACATCATTAATGCGCCAAAATAATAAAGATTACATTTTTTATTGTATGTTCCTTTTGTCTTTATTATCTGACATGAATGTAAAAAAGGTGTCCTTCTAAAACCACAGAACGAGAGGATACTGAAAACCATTACAGCCAGCTATACTATTCTATCATGTAAGCAAATCCTTGGGACTTGCTTGTTAGTCACCAAGTAGAAATTTCTAATTCAATGCACGTTAGACACTAAGCATGATGATTCTGCATGTATCAACAGTACTGCCCTGAGTAATTTCACGAGTTGGTGCAGCAGCTCCATGCAGTGGGCTACTCATCCGTGAAATACCAGAGCTGTCCTGAGTGTGTCCCAGGAGAGGCTCAGAGCATTTACAGGAATGAGAACTGAGCATTCATGAGTTTACCAAGAGAAGGAGAGGACTGAAAATAGTACTAGATACATGACATTGCCCAACTTGGATTATGAGAACCAGTTTATTCTTGCTAGTTACCATTCACAAATTACAGAACCTCTTGTATTCAGGGGCATTTCTGAAAAAGATGAATCTGCATCAGAGTGAATAACCATGGGTCTTTTCCTCAGGAATTTTTAAGAATCTCTCTGGAAGCACCATGTTCCTAGAAGCTATCATTAGTGGATACTGATATGGAAAAATGCAAATGCAGCTGGAAAGTGGGCCTGTCAGTTACTCCTTATCAATTGCTTCAGTGAATTTCTGAAAATGTGCATCGTACATGGTTATACAATTGTATATTGCATTCCCCTACAACTTACAACAAAAACACTCAGAAGTGAATACTGAACTTCATATAAAACCAGTTTATGAGCAATTATATTCCATGTGCCTGCTCAGCTGCTAATGCAGAAATAAAATTTCATAGCACCTTTCCTGAATTCATCACAAATCTTTTGAGGGAGGAAGATGTTTCTCCTTCAAATTGTTCTGAAATGCATTATAAAAAAAGAGTCTAAAACTTTGATGGAAAAGCATAACTGTCAAAATGAAAAGATAAGTATTTTCAGATTAATATGTAGACAAAATATATCTTAAAAGGTTACCTTAAAAGAGATATGAATTATCCACAAGCTGACAAGAATAACAGACTGCTTTAAAAATAAGGTAGTAAATTTAACAATATTTTTTCATATTTTATACACAGCTTTTTAAATTTTGCTTTTCTCAAGGAAATAGCTTCTAATATGAATGAGCACTATGCCACTGTCAGTGCAGACCGCAGGTCATGGCCACGCCAAAATACTGGTTTCTCATACCTAGTTAGGTTTTCAAGCGTTACAAAACAAGTAGAGCATCACTTAAACATAGCAGGGAATTTGGGGAATCATCTTGGCCAATAAGGAAAAACACATAAGTTTATGGACTACTGCTTTGGTACCTTCCTGATACTGAGGATGAGAAGTGTGCAACGGATCAGTGCCATGCGTGATGAATTTGCCAGGAAAGCTTACTCCGAGAGCACTCCGCTAGGAGAACAGGCTTCACCTACTAATTCAGCGCAGGACGGATTCCCCCACTTGTACTAAATGGCATTTCCGACGGTTTTCTCGTTGAACGAACCACCCGGCCGTTCTAAAGGAACATTATTTTTCTGGTGTGCAGAAACGAGGACTGAGGATGCTTTCACCTCCAGGGGAAAAAAACCTGAACTTTACTCATCTTTGCAACTCTGTAATTCCCTAGGAGGAAAGAAAGAGGGGGGAAAAAAAAAAAAAAAAAAAGAAAAGAAAAAAAAAAAACCTTTATTTGATTTTACCTCGTTGCTATTTCATTTCTACAGAGAAGCTTCACATAACTTGAAGTGTTCAGTATTGAGATACGTTATGAAGCACATGGAGCGGGGGCTATTTAGTCATATGCCCAGCCAGGAAAAAAGCAAGAAAATCAGCAAATTCCCAACGCTTCCCGTTTAGCATTCTGACCGCGACAG